TGGGGATTGAACTCAGGCCCTTGTGCTTGCCAGGCAAGCACTTATTCTACTGGGCCATCTCCTCAGTCCTGAGAACCTTTTTAATTGCATGCAATCTTACTTGTCAGTTTTGGTGTTTATTTCCTGTCCTTTGAATTTTATCCATGACATTTTTACCTGTGCCAGTATCATGAAGTGTTTTTCATATGACCTCTGCTAGGAGCTTCAGACTTTCAGGTCTTGCATTGAAGTATTTGGTCCATTTTGAGTCTATTTCTGTTCAGAGTGAGAGGCAGGAGTCAAGTTTCAATTGTCTGCATACAGATACTCAGTCTTCCCAGCATCATATTTCTAAGATGCTGTCCTTTCCCAAAGTATATTTTTGGCACATATGGTCAGAATCCACTGGCTGTAGAGGCATTGATTTATTTCCAATTTCCTGTTCCATTACATTGACATAAATGTCTTTTCTTTTCCAATGCCATTTACTAATACACTTGTGTTTGGTCTCTGGTCAGCTATATCGCTTGTGCTGGTCTCTTCGGAACAGTAAAGAGGAAAGAATTGATTTAGATGCAGATGAGAAAAGACCAGGAGAAACTGAAAATAGTACTGAAGGTAATATCTGGCTTCCATTTTTTTAGTTCTTAATTTGTTGAACTGTTTCAAATGCCACTAACTGCACCTTCTGGGTGAAAAGGAGGTGTTTAATCTATTGCAAATTGAAATTTTCAAATCTTGCCTCCCAATAACCAAGATAACTTGCTATGTTTGAAATTCACCCATTCATTGGTGTGTTGTGTCTGTCTGTCCATCCATCATACATACATGAAAATATATGCTAGCTACTGAGATCACAATCTGTTACAAACCCACCTTGCCTAGTTATATATGAACTTTTCGGTCTTTATTTGTTATAATTAAACATCTAGCCACCTTCTCTTCAAATTATATGTCACTATTCTCTCCGATACACCCTTCATTCCAGGTAGTCAAATTTCTCTACTTTTCACCAAATACACCGAGATCCCTAGAGTATCTCTAACACCCTTCT